CATAATCATTATGCTTTTCTTCCTTCCACAGAGATGTCATTATTTGTTTTTTGATTCCTGACTGTTTCCAACAAGAGTATTCGTAGTTGGTAGTCCCTTCTTTGGGTAAAAATTTATCTTTCAAAGTGGATATTCTCCAGTTATTTCTTTGTGATTATTTTCAATACAATGTTGTGGACAAATTTATACCATTAGGTCTTTGAAAATTAAACTATGAATTTAGAATACCCTGGTTTTTGTTGCTTAAGAAATCTTCTGTTTGAATTGGAATTTTTCACCTTTCATCTTTCTGTGATGCACCTATAAATTAAGTTCTGTAGCACTTCAGGAAAATGATTGAGTGAAGTGTTTGTCAATATTATTGATTATTTTAATTCTAGTTCTTCTTCTCTTTCAGGCTAACCAACTTAATTTTCGTGGCCAACGCATCTGGTCAGCTGCCATGGAAGAATTGATGGCCCAGGGAATGAAAAATGCTGAGCAGGTTTTACATTTAGGATGTGCTTTTTCAGTCTTGACGCTGCAGTTTCCATTTATGTTAAATTGATTGCATTTCAGGCTCTTCTTTCTGGATGCTCGGCTGGGGGTCTAGCATCCATTTTACATTGTGATGAGTTCGGTGATTTGTTCCCTAAAACTACCAAAGTGAAATGTCTAAGTGATGCGGGAATGTTTCTTGATGCGTAATACGCAATGCTCTATTATCTCATCTGTGACTTTTACTTGTGTTTATTCTTCAATTGAGAAATGTGGTCTTTACGTTTTTAATTATGCAGAATTGATGTTGGTGGTGGTCGCACCCTAAGGAATATGTTCAACGGTGTGGTCAAGTTACAGGTATCATACTAGTTTTTAAGTTTCTGAGCTCAGAAGCCAATTCTAAAGTGGAAAGTTAGGTGTCATTTTGTTGTCTTATAAAGGCCAACTAAGCTTCTGTGTGAGTTGCTCAAGTGCTTTTGATTTGAGATTCTTGAGGTGTGGCATCAATCTTTAGAATGCTGTGCGTTTGTGCTGCTGTGATGGAATCACCCCAATAGACTCATTCCCCTTTAAGTATTGGATACTTGTTCTTTTTTTTTCTGGTTTTGTTCTGACCATGATGCTATCAAATTGTAGGGAGTGGCAAAGAATCTGCCAAATACTTGTACCAGCCAAATGGATCCTACTTCGGTAACTTCCTTTCAGAACTTTCATTCATTTTGTTAGTCGACAAAAATAAGAGGCATCATGTAAAATATTGAAATATTTTGTCCTATCCATCTCTTGCAGTGCTTCTTCCCTCAAAATTTGGTTGCGAATATCAAGACTCCTATGTTTCTTCTCAATGCAGCCTATGATGTATGGCAGGTAATCTTAACTCTGCTAGTATGCTAATTGCTACTTCTTTTTTGGCCAAAGCGAATCCATACGCAACCAACAATGTACTGAACAAAAGATTCGTGGTGCCATACTTAATACTTCTTCCATGGCTGTCTCAGCAGGGGGAAACTATAAGATTATGTGGATCAGTCATTGTTGTGTCCCTTTGCCTGCATTTGCTTTATTGGGAAAAACTGTTTTGATGTAATTAAAAACAATCAGCACCCTCTAATTAAAAACTGTTTTGCATGACTTGATTACAAGACTTGATTCTATTATTCAACTTTCAACCAACCTCTTTCCTTCTTTCTCACTTGAGCCAAAGCTCAAAAGGATTTAGGCATTCAGCAGTCATGCCAAATGGCTGACATAAAAATTGAAACAATGATGCAATAATAATGATGGGCCCTATTGCATGTGGATCTACCATCATCATAAACCTACTTTGCAAATGGTGTTTGATCTGATAGGTGACATTAAGATGCCAAATAAATTGGATTAAACAATCTTATTTATATTTGCCTTTTTCAGATCCATCAGAGTTTAGCTCCATCAACTGCTGATCCTCATGGTTACTGGAAGGATTGCAAAGAAAATCATGCCCAATGTAATGCATCACAGATTCAGTTTCTCCAAGGTGAATTTTCTATTTGTTTCCTTTTTAAGCTTCAATTTTTTCAAAGCATAAATTACGTCTAATGTTTCTTTTATTCCTTCTTAAATCAAAAGCAGATTTCCGGGATCAAATGCTCAATGCCATAAATGTTTTTTCAAAGTCCGAACAAAATGGTTTGTTCATAAATTCTTGTTTTGCACACTGCCAGTCAGAAAAACAGGATACATGGTTTGCCAATGATTCTCCTGTTATTGCAGAAAAGGTATGCATCAACTACAGTAATTATCTGCAGCAGCATTAGATAGATCATGACAATATCCACTTTCTAAATTCTGCAGGCATTCGCATTTAATTTTTCTGAAGTATTCTTGATTCATGGTAGAATTCCCTCAGAGTAACTCACATAGAATTTCACTTTCACACAGACATTTACATGCCATAGAAAGTTAAGCATATTAATATCATCTATCCTCATTGTAAATTTAGGGTAATGGAGAAGATGGAAAAGAAGAATGAACCTACCAGAGAGTAAAACAAGTGAAAAATTATTGATCAACATGTTAGATTTGAATATGTTGTGCCAGCAAAACATCTAGGATGGGGTTTGAGCGTCTATGATGCATTAGGGACTGATAATTTATGCTAAAACAGGACAGGTGGGTCAATAATATTCTAGATCCGTCAGTGTAAACCTTTAAGTTAATTGGTACAACTCTTACATTGTTATTCTAAAGTTGATGAGATCTAAAGATTTTAGTAAATGCTTGTATTATGATTATTATTATTCAAAATGATTTCAAGTAAGAATGGCTGCAGTAAAGATCGCCTTCTACATTAGTTTGATTTTGTGTTATATGTTCTGCAGGCAATTGCAGTGTCTGTGGGGGACTGGTTTTTGGACCGAACCACTGTTAAAGCTGTTGACTGTGCTTACCCCTGTGACAAAAGCTGTCACGACCTGGTGTTCAAGTGAGTGAAAACTTCTTGTTTGCTCCCTGTCTGTGTCTGGCATCCCCTTAATTTATTTTCCCCAACTGTCATTTTAGAAACTGGAACTTCCATTGATTGAGGGCCAAAATGAGATTCATTATTGTTATAGAAACCTACTTTCCTGGGATGCAAATAAAAAATGATTTGCATCATTATCTTGATGTCCTTGCAAATTCCAACTAGAAGCAATATTCTTGAGATGAGACTCAAACATGGGACATAATATATTTGAAACTTTCTCGGTTGAGATTTGTCTTTTGAGAATGCTTGGCTGGTTTACCCTTCTGTACTCTTTTAATCCATTAATGAATGTTTGTGTCTATAAATGCATTAGAAGAGGATACAGAAGTTAGTAGCCTTTCTCACATTTCTCAGAGATGAGCCATTTCTGAAATGAATATGTTCATATGCAGTGATGTTACATCATCCCTAGAGATCTCCCAGTCCACAAGGTTAACATCCACTGTACTAACTCTGCTTGGTACCTCTGTGCCTCTCTTCTTAACATCTTCAAATGCACACCATTGTTCCAATTTGATCAGTAACACATTACCATGATTTTCGAGTCCATACCCATGTAGGCTTGTTGGATCTTTTGCTTGCTTATGAGTTCACTGAAGCCATTTCTTTTATCAGTATCTGTAATTCTTTTCCTATTTTCCTGTGTCTGCCTTCATTGATACTTGATAGACATCGACTGAAACTCTTTCAACTGTAAACTGAAAATTGCAAGCAGAGGAGGCTGTTTTTTTGAGGCTGTCATGCCATCTAATGCACATTATTCATTAATTATTCTTGATATATCTATTTGATTTATCATGCAATTCTGAATGAAGACCATACGCTTGGGGGTGTTTTGGAATGGTTTCTTGTCTAGTGAGCACCTGTAGTGTAATCCAAAATCCATCAATATTTAACCGGATATTCTTCGATTATTCTTTAGTTGTTTCCATCAACAAATATACCGTCTTTTGTTTGCTTCTCTCTGCATCATGACATGGCTGTGGTTTTGGTCAAACAATTATACGATGAGGCCACAAGCATCTGTCTTTATTTTTTTTCTTTCTTTGCAAAAATATTGATTTCGACTGATTTATAAACTATTTGGAATAACTTTTCTTTCCTCGTATGATAACTTATAGTAAATTTTTAACAATTGATAATTATTATTATTTATAATTTAAAATATCTAATCTATTTAATTAGAATTAAAAGTTAATAGTTATTTGTATAAAATCAAAACAAATACTTCCTTTGTTATTAAAAATAATTGATAATAGATAA